AATAAAGACAGCGTTACAAATACAATGTCCTAAAAAAATTTCTTAACCCTATCGTTAAATAGCACAGAAATTAAAAATCAATTACCAACAGATGAAAACTACTTTCTAATGAGAAAAAAAAAGTCTTTTGGAATTTCCAATGTTGTTTTCTTTTATGACTTTTGTGTATTTGTATAGTATTCTGTATAGTGAATAAGTGAGACTCCAATGCTTGGTATTTGTACGACTAAAGACTTGAAGCACACATGAGAATTATATTGCCTTTTTTTTTTTTAAATTGTGTGTTGTTGGCCTTTTTTTTAAAGTTTAAATTTTCTAAATGCAATCTTTTTTTTTCTTTCTAGAAATTTTTTTTTCTATGCTGTAAACACGTTTAACGGGATTGCTTTCAAACAGTAGGAAAAAAAAATTGTGCGAAAAAATTCCCAGGGTTTTTGTTTTGTCTGCAGGGAGGTGAGTTACCCCCCTTAGAAACTTTTTCTAAGCGAGGTTTTTATGTCGAGTCGGTAGGCTTGGCGACTCAAAAGAGCAGACTTGACGAGTCAAAAAAGGCGTCCGAGAAGTTTCTTGACAGCCATATTGAATCAAAACAAATAACTGTCTGAGTTGAATTCTCACATGTTTTATCTCGGTTAATCGAAACTAAAAGTTCCACATTAAGTCCCATGTGCTGTATTTTGATGGAACATAATGAAAATTCGATTCGAATATTTTGAACATTGCACAATGCAATAGAATATGCAAATCTCACCTAAGCAGAGTTTCTTTCAGGCATCTCACTCATCCCCCTTTTCTCCAAAGTACGACTACCCCCCCCCCCCTGAAATAGAAGTTATATATAAAATATATACTTTTACCAGTGTCCCCTGAAGATCTAGTCGCATCCCCCCCCCTCTCCCTGAGAAAATACTCTGAAAGAAACACTGCACCTCATGATATGAGATAATGAGAGATGTATAGGAGTGGGAGGAGTGTATCCTGTTTTATAAATTGTGACATAGGAAGAAAAGAGGGTTTTATTAGAGTGGCGGGATAATTTCTTTAAAAAAAAAACCAAGGTGACTAAAAACTATCGATTTTTTTAAAAACCCATTCCTACTCAGTGTAACAGTGTCAAATTTCCTCACATTACTGCGCCTTGTCTAATATAACAGTCTGGAAAACACCCTACCCTAACCCAATCTACCCCGCCCTACCGTACCCATTCACACTAACCCAACGCATTTAAATTTCAGTTTAAAAAAAATAACCTAGCTGACCCCATAAACATAAACCCACTACTGTTTTATTTGTTTAAACGGCCAATGTGAAAAAAAGGCTTTCGTGCCTACAATTGTTACCATTTTTTGAATAAATTAATTTAATTTAATAAATTAAATTTGAATTTGAATTAATTTGAGACGTGCCGTTAAAATATCAACAAGAGGTATCAGCTTGCGCTTTAAGCTATTTCTAGATACCAAATTTATAATTAATTTTCAGTTGATTTACACTTGTGTATTAAATAATTAAAGCAATATCGGCACTTCATTCCTTGGATCTGTTGTGTTTTTGTTCACACTGCCTGCCAGAAGTGAGCGTACACTGATCACCTTTCGCTAAGACGAGGTAGAACATTCCCCGGGGACCGTCCGGGTGTGAGGGACGTCGCGGGACGCTCTTGGTAGACACTGGTCACACTTCAGCAGGGGTTCCGCGTGCCGCCCCTAGCTGGGTTTTGTCATCGATTGTAGTAGCCTACTATGTTGGGCGCTCTTTAAAACGAATGTATGCGCAACAGTGCTAATGGGATCACATGACTTGAGTCAAGTAGTAACCCTGAACCTCTGTACACGTAGCCCAGTCAACAGACCCCAGGGTTTCCAAAAAAAGAACTCGGGGCACCCAAACACACACTGATGCTTGAGCGCTGCCCCATCTATATTAAAACTTTTTAGTGCCAGAAATCATCGCGGGTGTATAGTCAGTTACTTTACAGTTTCATGACGATCGGTTGGATGGTGTATAAAGCATAAAGGATAGATGGTTATGAATCTCAGGAACGCCGGGAGTCATATATATTTGTTAGTGATGGACTGTAGACTTGTTGGTTTGTAACCCTCCATGAGTCTGGGCTATACTACAATAGTGCTGCTTTACCATTGATGTTGTTTAATCTTATCATGATATGGAGGGACAGGCCTGTGGAAGTATGTACTCGGCATTGGGAAAGAGGCACATTTGCTTTTTAATTATATATATATATATATATATATATATATATATATATATATATATATATATATATATATATATATATATATATATATATATATATATATATATGTGTGTGTGTGTGTGTGTGTAGCAACTCATGCAGCATTTTTAGTACTTGTCACTTTACGCCACATCCGTGTCTGTTGTAGTACAGCTAGTGACAAGACGATGCATTACAAAGAATACAACAATGCTGTGTACTGCGCATTAAAGTTGAGAGACATATTCCTGTAATATATAGTGTCGAGAATGCCCATTGATTCCGAGATCTATTTTGAACGTACGTGGCAGCAGTATATATGCATTGATAAATGTTTGCAAGCACAAGTAGAGCGAATCTAATTTCTATCAGGCACGAACATTCCACGAATATGAATGAATGCAGAACACGTCATTGGGTTACGTATTCGTCATCAACAGAATTCTATGTAAGCTTATGTGTCAATAGATTCGCATCGGCTCTTTCGGTATTTGAACTGAAGAAGGGGGGGAAGGGGAATTAAATAACTACCTTTCAGTTATGACATAAGCATTTCAAGAGTTTAATACCCGCTCTTACATAGCCAGAGTATATAATTACATCATTTTAAAACTTTTAAAGTTGGGTTGTTTTTTTAAAAAAAAAGGTTTTTTCCTTAATAATGGAAATGTAGCTTGTAGTTTAGAAAATACTACATCGCCAAAATTATATTTGAATTTCCGATTCCGTTGGAAGTGTCACCCGGCCCGATGAATCTATGAGAAAGATAAGGGGAGCTTACTCCTCCAACAAAACCAATTTTTTTTTTTACTACCTTGAAGTTGAAGGTACAATTATTGGCATACTAGCCGTCCCGGCCAGGCCCTGCTCTGGCTTCTGTGAAAAACCTTTCCGTTAAAGACCATTACCTGTGTGTTTAGTAATCATCATAAACCCGGCATTGCCCACCCAAACCACAACCAACCAAAACAACAAAACGCAAACATAACGCTAACACAATTAGAAATACAAACGAAAACAAAAACCTAACAACAAACCCAACCACAACCACAAACACCAATACAAATACAAAGAAAAAACAAACGAAAACAAAAACCTAACAACAAACCCAACCACAAACACCAATACCAAAAAAAAACAACGAAAAAGCAAACGAAAACAAACCAAATCCAAACGCAAAACCAACCAAAAACACAAATACAAACCCAAACAAAAAAAAACACAAACAAAAACGAAAAAAGAAAGAACAAAAACGAACCAAATCAAAACGCAACCACTAACGCAAACCCACCTAAACACAAAGAAAACACTAACGCGAACATAAACGCCCGGGGCAGAATCGCCTGTTTTAGCTTAATAAACGACTATAGTACCCCAACTTATTCATAGTTTTTGCACTCACTTAAACGAACGCGCCTGTTTCAATTTAATGAACAATTATAATACTCCAAGCTTATCCGTAAAATACCTAAAACATTTGCACTTGATCAATCCCCGCTAATTATGTAATTATTTTTTTCCCAACACCAAAACAAAGTAATTAAAAAGTAAATGCTTTTCAACTAATGCAATGGTTTCATAAAGGGAAGTAATTGTGTTTTGCCTAATTTATCAAAGGGAAGTAAGCGCTATAGGACTAAATAAAAACATAATTAGAATTTTTGTAAAAGATGATATTTTTTTTAAACTTGTGTTTAATGAACATGCCGACAATTATTACTATAATTTGAAAAATGAAAATGATTTCCCAACACTTTTAATAGTAATTTTTTAACTCATAAATTTAGACAAACGCGCACGATAATTGATCTAACACTTAAATCCGTAGAAATCCCAACGACAAACATATGCGTTACAGAATTGAGCTTTATATATTAGATTATTATTAGGGCATTATTTGTATATTACATTAAATTACAAGCACCAAACATTAAATAGTCCTATCCGTTTAGAAATCGTCAATTTTTATATCAAAGTAATATTTTTTTTTTAAAAGTAAAAGGTATCATCCAAAAAACGACGTAACACTCAAATGTAATTTTAATCAATGCTTTTATAACAAAAAAATTAATTGCTTCCCCTGAACTAAGGGGATATAACCAATAAAATTTAATTATCTACTGCTGTTCGATCTTGCAAAAATTATTTCTCTTCACTAAGTAATAATGAATTCTTATTAAATTTTACCAAACGCTTGCTTGTCGCTTTTAGGTAGACTACACAATAACTAACAAAAAAAAAAGCCTAGATCTACATAAATGTGAACCAACTGGGATATCAAAGCTTTAATGAAAATTAATGGGTAGGCCTACCTGATTAAAACAATACCCATAAAGGGGATCGCTATTTGTTGGACAAAACATAAACAGGTACTCAGCAGTCATTCAAGAACACAATTTTATTACAGCTAACAACATATTAGTTAGACTGTTGTACTGTAGTAGTAAAAAAAAAGAGAGAATATTAAGTAATTATATACAAATTGCTTTTGAAGTGTAATCATTCCTAAATTACAAAAATAATTAGCAATTTTTGTTCAGTTTTTAGTTGTCATTTAATTAAAGGACAAAATTAGAATTTATATAATAAAAGAATATTATATGATTTTGGGTAGCTTCTTAACAACTAAAACAACCCTTAATTTTGACCTTACATTTACATTGCAGGTTTGATAGGTTAACTAATAATTAATTTTTAAAAGTTTTTCAAAGATATGAAATTCTAACCAAGGGGAAGCTACTCAAAAAATAAACCCAACAATAAACACAAGATCATATTGCCTCATATCAATACCAAGTACACAAGGTAGCGATATATGCAAAATTTTAATTCAGATTTACACACATGGCATTACCTCGTATCAGTACATAAGGTAACACATGTATAGACATATGATGGTGATAATTTACATGTGCACACAATGGTATGTACAAGATGGTAAAATATGGTATGTGTATACACAAGATGGTAATTCCCTTATGCAGATACTTCAGGTGGAAATATAGTTACTGCAACATTGTACTATAAGCATTTCTGTATTACAACATGTACGGTCATCGATCTAAAGCACTCTTCAAATTTTTTTGCAGAGTTCTGGGAGCCATATCAAAAGCTGTTTGGTGATCCTAAAATATTAAAAAATGAAAACAAATAATTTAAGGTAAACAATTTTCAAGTCTACTTTCATGATGACTACATACTTATAAATGATGGGAGGAAGAGTGACGAAAATGAGAAATGTCTATTTACATTATTTGTTATGTCTGTTCTGGCTCCATGATCTATTAACATTTTGGCAACTTCTCCATTGTCATCCTCACAAGCCAAGTGACTGAAAAAAAATGTTTTTTTTTAATATAAGAAGCTGGTGTTTTCTGAACTGAAGGTTAAAATATTTACATAGTGATGGCAATAAAAATTCAACTATTCTTAATTATTAAGAAATTTAAAATGTCTGTTTTACTTCATTTCATGTGTATATAGCATTTTAATATATAGATTTTTTTAAATAGACAAGTGACTAATTTAATTACAGGGGTGTACATCCTGAGGCATCTCTGATATCTAAGTGTGCATTGTTGGATATGAGAAGCTGGACAACTTTTAAGTTGCCTTTGCTAGCAGCTCGATGGAGTGGTGTGTGACCAAGGGAATCAACACAATCAATATCAGCACCATGCTGGAGAAGGATTTCTGAAATCTGAAATGGAGACACATTTGTACAGTACAAAGTTTTCAGTTCATTATAAAAAATTAATGTGAGTTTTCAGGATTTATTTTACCAAATAAATTAATGCTGAAAATTGAAAATACAATATATTTAACTACTATAAAACTTTTAGCTTTTTCAAAGTATGAAGATTAAATAACAATGACTACTAAGATGGAGAAGTCATAATAAAGTTACATATGTTCTAATTGATCAGTGGTACAAAATATTTACAGCCTTACTTCTATGTGCCCTTTTGATGCAGAATAGTGTAGAGAACTTTGACCTGTACTGTTGACAGCATTAACCTGAGCATTATGAGCAAGCAGGTCCCTTACAATCTGAATACGACCAGCTGATGAAGCAATAATTAGCGGCGTCCACTGGGTCTATAATAACAGAATTTCAACAATACCACATACTAGATCATTAAAACTTTTAAACTACCACGCAAGACTAGGTAGAATCGCTCGTTTAAACAAAGGAAAATTTACCTCAGACAAAAAAAAAATTAGTTATTTCTTTATGCCACTTTAACAGTTTGGACCCTCAAAAGGACAATCAAATATTTTAATATTGTGTGCTGTATTATTAAAATATATATATGAAAACTTGATCATGTAGTTTCTGTTTGACTTTTTAAAGATTTGACATATTTGTTGTTTTTAATATTATTGATAACTAAACAAAATAAAAAAAAAAGCCTAAACAATTTATATTTTTTCCACTTGCGTAAATGTAAACAGACATGGCTAACTAGATCAGAATACTGTTATACTAAAATACTACAAATATACTACTGAAAATGTCATTTTATCATTTTAACATTTGGATATTATGAGCTGTTTCTTCTTACCTCATCTCTTTCATCAACTGGAACATGCAAAGACAAAAGGTATTCAACAATATCAGTATGTCCTCCAGAAGCAGCCCAATGCAATGGTGTCCGGGAACTCTAAAAATAAAAGGATCTATTTAAGCATTTTAAATCCCAAAATTATTGTATAATGCATTTTAAACATTAGTGATATGATATTTAATAAAGATATGATGATGACATACAATGTCATGTAATACATCCATTTTCAATAGCTATATTTCAGATTTAATTTGAATTTGGAATCTTGAATGTTTAAAAATAATAACTAGTAGATCTAGAATCAAAAGTAATCTATAATTTTTGGACCGTAAAAATAAAATCGGCAGAAGTTAGTCTTCTTCTTCATTCTTAATTTTAGTGTTGGAAGGGATCCCCTCCAACACAATCAAGAATACATGTCAACTGGTTATGCGCCATTTAGGCAGCTGAATCCGTTTAGAGCCTGCTTTTCTTTTTGGATTTGCTTTTATAGCCTTTGTCCAGCCAAGGACTAACTACAAGGCAGCAGTTGTTTGATTTTGGAGTTGTCTCTCCTAGAACAGTTGCTGTCCCCAGCTATCCGGCTACATCTACCCGAGGGTTCGAACTCAAGACGTATCAGTTTAGCAACCATGAGCTTTTACAGACACCACCACGCCGAACCCTCAGAAGTTAGTAATGTGAAAGTAAGTGACTAAGTAATATGACTTAAAGTAGATCTCTAGATCTATAGTATATTAAGATATATTTGTGTCCAAATAGCCAAATATAATAGGCCCCTGGATAATTGACAATTGAATAATAAACCAAACACAATCAATATAGGCCAGAAATTAACTTTAAACAGCAGTATTTGAGAGCAAGGTGTACTATATAAACAGCTGTTGTTGCTTAGTTACTGAAAATACTAAAAACATAATTTAATTGATGTTTTCTTTATTAAAGTCCAACAAAAAGTCAGTAAAATTTTTATAACTTTAATATAGGCCCTAACCATATTTATTTTAAAAACATCATACATGAGTTTTAAAATACTTAATGCATCTTTCGAATTATTTTGGGACCATTCTTGTCCATTAGTCACCTTTCTTTCACATTACTAACTCCGGGATTTTAAAATCTTAAACTTAAATTGTAAGTCTTAAAATGATACTGATAGACTACAGATTCTCTAAGTCAAATCTAGATCTAGATAGAAGTAGATCTAGAAACTCGATTTAGGAAGAAATCAATCTATGTAGGGATTTTGGTAATAAAGCACTAATCATCATATAAAATAAAAATTACATATTCTTGTAGAGCTCAACTATATGAAAACAAAACAAAAAAGATTTTTTGTCTAGCTCAAATAGTTTTTTTTTAGCACATTTTTTTGTGAGGGGTGGAATCCCCTTGTTTTTGCATTGGCCAATTGTGACAAGTCATGGTATACCTGAATAAATTGAGCATAGTTATTTTACTTGCAGTTGTATTGTGTTCATATTTGCAGAGTTTAGCTAGAATGATATATACAACTTGTAAATGCTGTTGAAATGAATAAAAATAATACAGAACTTATATTTTTGTGTTGGCTTCCTCCCATAACCCCAAAAAACTGTGTGCTGCGCAAATATGAAAATGTTTCTAAAGCTATATTTTATATAAATACAGCAAATGAAAGAACTACAAAGTTAGAAATCTAAAGTAAATGACTTGAACACTGTTATGTGCATATAATATTATAATTGCCTCATTATTTTGGGCAGATGAAGTAGAGTCCATCTTTAAGCCATTTTGTTATGAAACTGCTGCGCAAATATGAAAATGTTTCTAAAGCAATATTTTATATAATTACAGTGAATGAAAGTCAGAAATCTAAATGACTTGAACACTGTAATGTGTATATAACTGCCTTGTTATTTTGGGCAGGTGAAGTAGAGCCCATATAAGCCATTTTGTTATAAGTGAAATGAAGTTATCAGATCAATTTTTTAATGTGTGAATTGTGTATGGATTCTGATTTTCAGCATATAACTATATCTAAGGGTAAGTAGAACTTGAGTACTTAAAATTACAGTTAGCACAATGCTAGTGTATAGCAACAGACAGGTAACCTAGGTCTGACTCTTGTCTGACAAAGTTGGATTTTAGGAAAAACATATTCTGCAGAACTAGAACTAGAGCTGAAAAAATTAAAGATGCGTATGTAGTATGTAAATATATTTTGAAAACAAAAATTAGATTTGTTTGCACATTCCATAAGAATGCTGTTGTTAGTTGATCAAACTTAAAGGCCGGAAGATCGGGATGAAAAAATATAACAACGGTGGCAACGCGACCTACATACAGTGACCACCTCTGGATGAGTATATCTAATGTCGGAGTCAAAATATCCAAAAACAAATATCATTTCCATATACATAAGATATGTCTCTTATCTAGAATAACCTTTTAAAAAATCGTGATTCCAACGTATTTGAAACTAGCCTTCATACAGGGGGAAGACCAAAGCAGAGACAGCGCGAAATCAGATCGCTAAGCCATCAAAACAATGGGAAAACCATTCTACTTTTCATTTATTAACATTAGGAAATGACCTTTTAAATTTTAAACTTAATTAACTACCATAAATTAAAAACTTATTAGTATGCAAAACCTATTCTCGTGCGCTCGGTATCAAAAAGTAATGGGAGATTTCGGGTCATGATTTTACCGCGATCTCGGCCGATATCGACAACCTGCCTTAGGGCCTACTATTAGAAATTAAATTATCAAGCGCTCAGAGTCACTATGACTTGTCTACTCTATAGACTCTACGGCACTCTACTCTCTATGAGTAATGACTCAGTGAGTAATGTAATGAGTATGAATCAGCAGCACTCTCTCTCATCACTGAGACTGACTTTAATTAATTTACAAGACTTTGTTGCCTCTTGCCACTCGCTTCTTCACTCTTGTGTGTATTAACTATAATAATTTTATTAATTAACGAGTAGGCACTTGATTTGAGATTTTGAGTTGACTTTTGTCTTGTTCAGTGACTTTTGTTGTTGTTGATTGATGGCGATGCGAATCGAATAAAATCTAAATTCAGTAAATTACTAAAATTAGCCAGCTAGAAAATTTTGCTAAAAATTTACCGAGTCTTTTTTTGTTGCTAATTCGTTGTTGCTTTCAACTTTTAATTTTAAAAGAGAATAATTTCCTTCGTACGCATATTTGCAAACTTCGTCTGCCGTTGTTGAAACAGCCGCCATGGTTGTTGTTTTCTTTTTTCGTTTCTTCCCTAATCATTTAGGAAGACTGCAACTTAAAAATTCGAAGCGTTATTCGTTTTTTCTAAGTAAGCAGATTATTATACTGCTAAAAAAAATTGTGAGCAATCAACAGTAGGCCTACTGAGTTATGTAGATTTTCTAAATGAAAGGTGTACTATTTATTTTAAAACAGATTCGATCTAGGCCTGAGCAGAGGCGTAGCGACCCTTCCCGGCGCCCGGGGCGAACTTTCAATTTGGCGCCCCCCCCCCCGCTTATATATATATATATATATATATATATATATATATATATATATATATATATATATATATATATATATATATATATATATATATATATATATATATATATATATATGTATGTGTGTGTGTGTGTGTGTGTGTGTATAATTATGTGTGTGTGATAGTGTGTTTATATATAAGCTTGTGTGTGGGTAAGAGTGTATTTGTGTGTGTAAGCGTGTGTGTAAGCGTGTATGCTACAGTCCGGACAAGGTTTAATAATTACATTGTATGATTTTCATTCCTTAAAACTTTACGACAATTTAATTCCCATTAAGATGCGTTTAACATTTTTTGCGAAAGATTAGTAATGTCAGTAAAAAAAATAAGCCTGATCTGTGTTAGAGGGTAGTTTGTAGCTAACGCTAATATGTTTAGACCAGCCTTTTATGTTCTAGTTTTGAACGATCTCTGTTGTGATATGGTACATAGTTGGATTCGAAGTTTGTTAGAGTAAGGACACACAAGTGACATACAAGAAGAAGTTATCAGAAATATTTATTGTTCACATTGGAATACGACATGGGTATTTCGTTGATTGGTTGATGGTATGACAAAATAAGCTAGAGAAAACAAACTGGAATCCAACGGATGTTAACAGCTCGTAGTCTTGGATTTCGCAGATTTGCCCTGCCTTCTCGCACACAGTTTCTTCCAGGCATCTTTTCGGGGGGCGAAGCCCCCCGGAAAAATTTTTACGCCCCCCCCCCGAACCAAATGAAATTTATATAATTTATATATAGAAAATATATACTTTTAACAGTGTCCGCCCCCCCCCCCGAAGAAAGTTTACCGCCTCCCCCCTCCCCCCGAAGATTTCAAGTGCCCCCCTGGAGAAAAAAGTCTGGAAGAAACACTGATCAAAAGTATCTGATCTCTCACGTTGAAGTTGAGAGAATCGTAAGAATCTTACAAAACTGGCTATTGAAATTGTACATTACGCGTTAATACACTTGGTTTCTTTACTAAGTGTTAAGAGAGTTATCTACTCACCAATCCAGTACAAATACTTGCGATTTTTGTTAGCGAAAAAAGCGCCCCCCCCCACCCCCACACACACTCATCACAACCATCTTGGACAAAGTTTGTAGAGCGGTTTTTAACGTAACTAACTTTTTAAAAAAAAAATGTTACACAATTATACAATGCACAGTACAATTCGTTTCTTTCTGAGAGCTAAAGGTTGTTTACTCAGAATCCTGTGTAATTTTGCTATTTTATTTAGCCTAAAAGCGCCCCCCTGCACCATCTTGATAAAAGTCACTAACGTATTTTACAGTTCAACAATCGTACAATACGTTTTAATACAATTGGTTTCTTTTAATAGTGGTAACGTTTATCGACTCAACAATCTAGTGTAAATTCTTCCGTTTTAAGTCTCGAAAAAGCGCCCCCCCCCCCATCTAGGAAAAGCTTCAAAGCGGTTTTACTGGTCACTGTTTCTTAAGAGTATATGTTTTACATTAAGAAATCAAGATAGAAAACAGTTAAATCAGTATGTAAATGCGTGTAGCCATTACGTTTCTTAACTTAGACAGTTTATAATTCAAAACTGCAGCATAAAATCAGCTTTAAAAAAATTTTCCCACCCCTTTTGGCGCCCCCATAGGGTCGGCGCCCGGGGCGGCCGCCCCCCCCCCCGCCCCCCCCCCCCCTAGCTACGCCTCTGGGCCTGAGGCCTGAGTTGATTTAACGAAAAAAAAGAAAATGTTTTATATCTATGAGTAAGAAGTGTAAATGTTATCATTTTTTTTAAAGAGCTTACAATGCCCTAAAAAAGATGGCCAAGGTTATTCCCAGCCGGTTGGGAATAGCCGTATTGTGGATATTCCCAGCCGACTGTGAATAGCCCCAATACGGCTATTCACAGTCTACTGGACACTTCGAAAAAAGATTCTTTATCAGGGGTCATCAATCTATAAATGACGTCACGCTTTTTTGACGAGTTTTACCTCCCCTTTCACCATTGTCACACATCATGACAAAAAGTCAGGATCGCGACCCCCCTCCCTAAAATGACATCACACCTCCCTAAAATGACATCACACCTCAGCCTCTCTATATTCCCCCTCAGAATTGCAGCTTTTGTATTTTATAACTAATAGCTTCGATTTCTCGAGTAGGCTATATTATAGTCGGTTTCTATTACAATTTACAAAAATAGCTTTAAAAACGCAAAAAGCGGCTAAAATAATACTTTTAAAAATTTAAAAGTGTAAACCCTCACCCCCTCCTCCCGTCACATAATTCGATCCCTCCTTCTCCCTTTGGAGAGTGTGATGTTTATGGACGACTTCTTTTTCAATTTCAGTGTATCCGATTTATATCCTATTCAGTGGCGTAGCGAGGTCGGGTCGGGTGTCACCCGGTGTGGCACTTAATGGTGTCACCCACCAGATGCGTAGCGACAAACTTCCAATTTTTTATTTGCACCCCCCCCCCCTCCCCCGCTAACTCAAACTTCCGATTTGCACCCCCCCCACTCAAACTTTCGATTTGCACCTCTTAAAAGACTATTTAACACTCGGATTAATTACTAAATTAAGTGGAATTATCATTTTTCTCTATATATTTTGCTATTTTTTGGCTTGGTGTCAACCCCCTAAATGGTGTCACCCGGTGCGATCCGCACCCCCGCCCCCACCCTCGCTACGCCACTGATCCTATGCAGTGTTTCTTCCTGACTTTTTACTTTTTTCTCTCGGGGGGGGGGGGGGGGGGGCACTTGACATTTTCGGGGGGGGGGACGGGACACTGGTAAGAGAATATATTTCTATATATAAATTCCTGCCTAAAAAAAAAAACTCTGAATGTAAGTCACATACCTAATTTATGGTTTTAAGGGCCACCATAAATAAGGACACGTGATTTGAACCGATTTACATCCCATTTTGACTTTGAGAAACACAAAATAATTGCTAGTCATAATACTCTTCTGTGAATAACTACAATCCTCTCCAGGAAGGGGTTCGCTCAGTGTTTCTTCCAGACTTTTTTCTCCGGGGGGGGGGGGGGGGGCTCAGAGGCGTAGCGACCCTTCCCGGTGCCCGGGGACAAACTTTTCGATTTGCACCCCCCCCTCAAGATTTCGATTTGCGCCCCTACCCCCCCCCTCAAACTTTCAATTTGCACCCCCCACTCAAGATTTCGATTTGATTTGCACTCCCCTCAAACTTTCTATTTGCACCCCCCCCCCTCGAGATTTCGATTTGCACCCCCCTCAAACTTTCAATTTGCACCCCCCCCCCCTCAACCTTTCAATTGGCCAGTGCTCAATTTTCAACCTGCAAGGATTTAGACTAGTGGTATTGGGGGGTTATAATGCTATGTTAACTTTGAGTTGGTTATTCCCCCCCCCCCCCCCAACTCACCACAACGGGACAGGCCATATTTGTATATATATATATATATATATATATATATATATATATATATATATATATATATATATATATATATATATATATATATATATATATATATATATATATATATTTGATGGAAAAAAGTTGAACCCCCTCCCCCCCTTAGACGATCCTGGCTATGCCACTGGTTTAGACCCATAGAGTATCAAAGTCAATTGTAGGAATTATATGATTTTTACAACACATATTTTTTGGCTGTTAGTACCCAAAGGATACCTTTACTTTCTTGAATTGAAAAAATGAAAAAAAATTGACTGTGCTAATGGCAAAGTGCGACAGTTGAAGTGTATTTATTTCTTCTCTTTTGTAATATAATCATGAGCATATTTACAAAGAGAAAAAAGCTCATGTCCGCTAGATTTTTGACAGAAATGCTGAGAGAAAAAAAAACAACTGAAATTGTGATACAAAAGTAGAGTAACTGATAGGATTTGAATTATCCATGTTATTTGCTGAATTTAAATTGTTAAAAAAAATAATTCAAACAGCATGCTTTTTCACCCAAAATAAATATATTTTCTTAATGTAAAAGTGGTAATTGGATAGTCAGATGGGTATTCACAGTCTACTAGGAATAACCAGTATGCCATTTTTCATCTGATCCAGAGACGTAGCGACCCTTACGGCGCCCGGGGACATACTTTCGATTGCACCCCCCCCCCCCCTTAGACTTTCGATTTGCACCCCACCCCCTCAGACTTTCGATTTGCACCCCCCTTCAAACTTTCAATTTGTTTTTCCAACCCATTTTGGCGCCCCCTAGGTTCGGCGCCCGGGGACATATGTCCCACCACCCCCCTGCCCCGCCCCCTCGCTATGCGTCTGATCTTATCTGTGAAAAATTTGTGCTAATAATTACTAATTGATGTAGGATAACTCTGTAATGATTTTTTTACTTTTTCATTGCAGAGAGTGTTAGTACTGGTTGCATTTTATGTTGATGCTTATTGTGCTTGTAAAATTTTGCAGGTAATGTTTTAATTGAAAGTCTAAGCTATTTATTATGTGAAGGTCTGAAGATGAGAAATGCAAACTGGATTGCATTAATTTACTAAATGGAGCATGAAAGTATTGAAAGTTTTCTCATCATATTTTAATTGCTGATGTGTAAATTAATCATAAAATTAAGTAATCTGTAGGGCCTATATTTCAGTATTTATTTCAATGTGATCAAGTCTTGTATACCATTGTGCCAGTAGATGGCATGCAGGGGTTGGAAAATGCTTTCTTGGAAAATGCTGAAGGGGTTGGTATTTTTTTTCACAATTATAATAAATTATTACTTGCAAAGT